GGAACAAAAATAACTATTGTTTCTTTAGAGAGGGTAACTCCCAACATTGTTAGATTTACTCTTTTCTGTAGAAAGTCAGATTCAGGTTAAAATGAAAGAACCAATATATGTTTTGTCAACATACACACGCCTACTGCTGTAGGGGGCGCAACGAGCGTCATTGTGATGGCCGATCATTGAGTGGATTTGCAGTATTTTATATAAATTCAGTTTGACAGAAATCCAACACTTTCCTTTGGATAGGTAGTTAACTAAGGTTCGAACGAGTGATTGTCTACTATGTAATGCAATTATGGACAGCCGAGGCCAGGATATGAGATGAGAAGGAGCTGGTGAGAATATGGCGACTCAGGCTTTATACAGCCATACCCTTCAGCTTTGGGTTTTAATAAGGGCTATGTGTTGTTTGAGTTGAATTGTGTTAACTACTTGGTCAACATCTAAAATTTAAATATTTCTTCAAAGGTGTTGATCATTTACATTACTTGCAACATAAGGAAACCAGAGCTAGCATCACTGCTGTTAAACAGAGCATCATATACTATTTTCTGTACGTTTGACTCGTTGAATCTGCTGCGTTGAATTAACAAGATGAATTCAGATGATATGAATCTTTGAAAATAACAATTTGTGAATTTATGAGATGCAATTGCGAACGTTTTATTTTGAAATTCAAACCTAGTGTAATGGTTGTTTATTTTTAGCAGATTTTTATGAATGGTGCTCCCAAGAGTTGTCTGTTCATGTATGCAATTCTCCCCTTTTTTTAAGTAATTCATTTACCTCGTCCACCACCCTATCTAAGGTAGAGTTGTCAATGATTCATAGGGGCGTCATGTGATGTCAATAGATATGCCAGTGTGATAATATTACTTTAAAATGAGCAAATTATTCTGTTAATTTGTTTCTCTGAGAAAAAACACTGCCTTTTACACTTTGATGATTTTATACTTGTTTACCAGTGGAATAATCTGGATTGCAGTTTTGGGATAACCTATTTCTTGCTTTTTCTTTGTTGCAGACTGATGTGAAGAAAACAATTGAACTACCTCTTAAAAAGATAGAGCCGAAGTTACTTCCAGGTAAGTAATGCCCCACAAGGAATATAAAAAATTCATTAACAGACCAGCTTGGACATATTGCCCTTACAAAGTACCACGCTGTCTCTGGGATAAACAGCCTGTGTTTTGTTACCGGTATGTCTGATACAAATCCTTAATCTGTCTTCTGTAGTCCAAGGTCCCTTTGTAGACTAGAAAGTGTTGCTATACTGTGTCTTCTTAAATAGCTGACAGCAGTTGTTAATCTGACTGGTTTTACAAGGTTGTCAGACTGTTGGGTTTATGTGGATATAATTGTCCCGTCTTGAAAATTGTCCCTTTTTCTGCCAATTTGTAAGGAGCAATCATAAAGGCAATTATAGATTGCCTTTATGCCTTTAATGGCAATTGTAGATTTTCCCCCCTCGACAGCACATGTAAGGTGATGTTACAGGTTTGTTTTTCTACAGGACAGAGCGCAGCCATTAAAAGACACGTAACAGGAGAGGTTTATGTAAATGGTTTTAGCTTACGTAAGTCTTGTGGGAATGAAATAGGAGTGGCTCTACACACCCTTTTTATTATCACATGTTGTTTGGTGTAAATACGGTACAGATCGTTGTACCAATGAGGTCTTGTTATTTCTTTCTTTAACCTATATTAGGACTAGACAAACAAGTCAGGTTGAAAAGAAGTTGACTTCCTTGTTGTGAGCAAGCTGCTCAGAGACAGAACCATGTTGTGACTGTCTGTAGCACTTCAACATTATTGTTGTAACTGTTCTCAGGAAACTGTTGAAAGCTTTCCTGGCCACATTTTTGTCTGTCTTTAATTTTTTTAAAGTTTTTTTTATATATATGTGGTATATATATGTTTAATGGTATTTCTAATATTTGGTGTGATAACTGTAAAGCTGTTGTTTTCTTTTTCTATTTCTTACTTTGGGTTTGGGTTATACATTTGGTAATGCAAATTTCCCTGCATTCCTATTGCTGTTTTTTTCCTTCAGTGTGAAAGTTGTGAGATGTATTTACGTGGCAAAAAATAAAATTCAAGCCAGTAGTACTTAGTAACTAGATTATTTTATGTAGCAGATGATTAATTCCATAGAATTTACAACATTCTAAAAACAATTATATGACAGTGCCTTCTCAGACTTATTATCAATAAACCAACACCATATCATTTTTGCCGTCATCTACTGTCAATCAATCAATTTAGTAAATTTAGAATCTCTTCAACATAAGTGAATATGAGATTCTGAAATGTTGTAAAACATGTACATGTGTGTAAGGAGTGGCAACTATTTTCTTGCCTAAGCATGTGTCTGTGTGTTTGCTTCAATCTTCCCAATGTCAGTTTTCTCTCTCTGGCTCTTACACCTTCTCTGCCAGTCAGACACACATTAATATCAGACATCGGTTAAAGTTAGACTGAACGAAAACATTATTACGTCTCAGCATTTTTTTTACATATGAACTTTTTTCAGTTATATTTGAGACCAAATGCTATTTATTACTTCTGCTGTGACACTAACGGACATGCCTAAGAGGAAATTTTGTTTATGGGTGTATATGGTGGAGGTTGGGTGAAAGTTAGAAGAGTGTGTATTGTTGCACAGACTGCTTGTGTTATTACAGTGGTAAAAAGGTGAGTAATCACTTTTAAATACAAATTATATTTATAAGTTTTGACATGGAGTAGTGTCTTTAAAAATTAGTTCAATCACTATTGCTTCTCTACATTCCTATATAACTGATTATCACTTATTAGTATAGTGGTATCTGGACTTTTATTATGGTGGATACACAGGCTGAGTTCCACGAAGTACATGAGGTCTTGATCAGGCCAACCTACCAGCTCATTATGTTATATTGTTAATGTTTAGTTTGTTGCTTCTAGTACTTGGCAGATTTTCTCTTAAACTCTAAATCATGTTCAGACCAAGGGCTTTAGCATGAATTTAATGCATTAAACTGAAGAGCCACACACCATAATTTGACCAAATAATGACATCTCGATCATCAAAATAATATGAAATATCCTTTCTGAAATGAGTTTTTCACATGTTTTGAATTGTTTTATTTAAATGTTAACCTCAACATTGTACTTTTCTTTCATTCTCAGGGGAGATAGTAGTTAACGAGGCAAACTTTGTGAGGAAATGCATCAGCAGTGAGAGCAGCAAAGAGGATCTTTGGGGGAAGTTGATATGTACCAACTTTAAAGTCTCCTTTATTGTCCAGGATGCCCCAATTAAAGAGGTATCTGCACTATTATTTTCAAGGGCTTTTACCGTAAACCTGGAGTTTAAAACAATAACAGTCAAATAATGCACTTTTAATAATGCACTCTCATAATGGTATAAGTGTGTAATGTGTGTCCTTTCTCTCAATTCTGCTATAGAAATGTTTTATATTCTCAGCATTTATATAATGTTAAATACTTACAATTAATATCAATGGGGAGCCACCATTGTCACAAACACACTGCTGCAAGGCTTGTGTTTCCACAAGCCCTGATTTTATGATGCAGTACATCTGGCCGGGAGGAAGGAAACTTTGGTGATTTCCTGCACTTCATTGTGACTGATATCGCACAAGAAGTCAGAACAGACGTCATTTCCATCTCTGTTGCAGATTGTTTTTATGATAGTAAAATAGAATCTGCTCATTGCTCAGTGAGACGACCAGGTACATTCTTTTGACCCAATTTACAGAATTTCAAATGTAACCTTTTTTCCTTTGTTGTTTTTGTAATCATCTTAACCATAGAAGCCTCATTTGTCTCACCTTCTGCTGGGTGAACACGACATCCCCCTGACCTGCCTGGAACAAGTGGTAACAGGTACATCTGATTTGCCTTTGTAGTTAACAGTTGAATATAAAGTTTAATGTAAAATCCTGTTCTAGAAGTGAAGTAAGTTGAATATAAAGTAAATGTAATGATGTAAAATCCTGTTCTAGAAGTGAAGTTAGCTGATTAATGTTTTACAACTTGTTTTTGGTTGCTTCTACTTACGCTTCACACCCAATATTAAGTACTGTATCAGTTGAGGCAGTATAGATTATCAGTCAGCACTAATTGTTTCATGACTGACTGGTTTAATTATGGTGATCTGTTTGTTTGTTTGTGGGCTTATCTGAAGTGAGCATATCATTTGCAATTACTATATGGACTTTATGTCTCTGCCCCCAAAAAAAGATTACAGAACTTGTACCTTTAACTATGTTAAAGACCAAGAGTGTACCTTTAATGATTTGCAAGCTTCCGCTCATAACTAAAACCTGAAAGATGCTTTATATATGAAATGTAAATTTGATAACATGGGTAGGAGCAGTTCACAGATGAAACTATATCTATTTAATATATAGATATTAATAATCTTTCAATTGTATGTTTTCTTCAGTAAATGATTCCAAGGGCAAGAAGAAAGTGTTGGGGTCAAACCAGAAGCTGAAGTTCAACCCCACCGAGCTTATCCTCTATTGCAAAGATCTACGCATCATAAGGTTCTGCTTTGACGAGGCCGGGCCTGAGAGTGCTAGAAAAGTAAGCAATAATTGTTCAGATCAATGACAAATAAATAAAAAATAATACATTACATTTCACATTTGAAAGTCTTCTGACCATTTGACTGTCACTGGCAAAACTTTCTTTCCTGACTACATGAGCTCACTGCTTACACAAACACTACACACTGAACTTCCTCAATGACAGTTATTTCTATCATTCTGACTTCCATGTGTGATTTTTTTTTTTTTTTTTTACAATCTACATAAAAATCATGAAACAAATTCTAAAAGTAATTCTGTTTGTCAAAATAGACAATGAATATGAAACATTGAGAACAATGCTTATCAAGACAGGAACTAAAAGTGATTGTGACTGTAAAACCAACTGGCGGTGTGACTCTGACTCGTCTCTTGCTCAGAGCGATTGTCAGAATAACAAACGTTTTATTCTTCACGGGGTCTCGAGGTTCAAGCGAACCATTGTGAAGAATTGTGAAGTCAGTCACCGCACCACACGTTAGATTACAGTGTTATTTAGAACGGCACAAGCTACACAGGGCTAACATCTTTTGAAAGCTTTGGTTGATGATTAAAAAAAAGCTGCGACTCTCTGTAAAAACAGCTTTAAATGTTTGAAAAGCTTTAAAAAATGTGAACTGGAAATGTTAGACACAGTCTTAGGTACGTGACTGTCTCGGTTACAGTCACCTCTCTCTATCAAAATACAATGTTTATTATATAAGCATGGTTGAGGCGCTCAGCTCCAGCATCCACAGTATTTACATGTGCCAGTGAAAGTACATGAAAAGTACACAAACTGAAACAGTTGCATGTCATCTGGAAACAATTATTGTGTAGGATTTACAGCAGTGTAACCGCCACAGCTTGTGCCTGGTAAAGTACAGCAAGTAACTTGACATTGCAGTACTGCATTAAAATGTCCCATCTGTGTCTGTATGTAAGGGGATGTCCACATATTATCCACTGTTTTCTTGTTTCCTCAACTGTTTTCAATACAATTTGGAAGGGTCATTATTCTTAGAGCATATAAATAAAAGTGGGTCTCCCCTCCTCCCCTTAAGAGCTTATTTATGACCACTATGTGTGTAATTAGACCCTAAAACAGGACTCAGGTCTCTTTCTTGTGACAAATTTAATTATATAATGCTCTATTTTGCCAAAGAAAATTACAGTGTTGGGAACAGCGTTGTCGAGACACATGCACACATGTATTCTGCTGAATGGCCCACATTGTGTGGCTACACTGGAGACAAAGTGGGATTTAGCCCTGAGAAATAGTGTGTCAGACATTCATACTGCCAAATGTGACTTGTTTGGTGCTGGTTTATTTTTAAAGAATATGTCGAACCAGAGTGTGTGAGTCGTACCATCAAAACAATGTCCTAACTGTTTCCTGTTGTCCCAGGTTTGCCTGGCAATTGCCCACTACTCCCACCCTGCTGATATCCACCTCCTGTTTGGCTTTGAGTTCCAAGGACGGCGGTTTTATGAATCTAAAGGTACAGCACGCCATCATTTTCTGTCTTTGAAGGACATTGCTGTTTTCACACATTTCCCAAATTTTAAATGCCATGACTTCATATATTTTCATTTTAAACAAGAAGTATTCAGTGTTTTTTATTTTCCAGGACGGAGAGTCAATGGTTCCACCCCTCGAGGAGGATTACACACTCCGATGTTTGACCGCCCTTCTGACTGGGATAGAGAAATCAAGAGAACAGGGGCCTCCGAGTGGAGGGTGTGCTCCATCAACGAGCGCTACGCCATCTCACAAAGGTTTTCAGTTGATGGTGTTTTGCACTTTTATAGTTTTACTTCATTAGGC